GTGCCATGGTGGAAGAACCCTGTTTGAAGCCTAATTCAAACCCAAATTTTGTTTCTCCAGGAAATTTAAATAATATGTTCTTATGACTGTGTTTACCTTTTTGAGTTCTTCTCTCCTTTGTCTCCCACTTTTTCAGTAGCAATTTTCTAGAATAGAAGTCAATATTTGCTGGCTTAATTACCTTAATTTCCACTCATATCTCTAAAAGACACATGATAATGATGAAAATTACTACGCACTAGAAATTATTAAGGTCTTTAACAGACTCAGCTTTTCCCCTGAGCTTCTCACAATGACCTTGGGAATGAAGGAAGCACGTGGGAATACTTCTCTCATCCTTACGTGTTAATTGATTATTAGCCACAGACATGTATGATGTTAAACTTAGATACTTATTTAAACATTTGCTTTATTATGGGGGATAAAAAAATTATCCTTGCTGACTTTTCTGTTGAGAAACACTAGGAAACAGCTTCATGAAACAAATATTCTTAAAGACACATTTAAAATTCAATTGTGTAAAATAATTTTCTATAATATATGAGCACTTGCCAGCAATTATAGAATTAATTAAAAATTGTCAGGTTGCTTATACAGATGGGGCCAAATCTTTAAGGCTCTACTGTGGGTGTGATTTCCTACAAGGAGGCCATGGTGTTCCTTAAAAACACCAACAGATGCAGCACCATTCATGGATACACCTTGCTCCAAGCATTTGCTTCTTTGTCTTTTCAGAGCATGTAATAGGATATTTTAAACACAAGAAAATGAACAAATTTCTAGTAAAATGGGAAATAACCCTAAACTCTTCCTCTACCCTATAACTAGCATAGCCAGTTGAAGGAGTTGCTTAGAATTCCTGAACTCAAAATAGAACTCTTATTTTCCTTCTTAGAGGAAAAATGATGGAACATCGTAAGATACAACGCTGGATGAAGTTATTCATCCTAATGATAAAGAGTAGCTTGCAAGTTTGAATTACTCTTTCATAGATTTTTTTTTTTAATTTCCAGCTCTATCCAGTAACTACTCCCATACAAAGCAAACTGCAATGAAAATACAGCTTGTGATGAAGAGGGGGCTCTGGTTTAGATATATTTAAAACATGCAATGTAGATTGTTGCATTGGTGGGTTTTTAAATTAATCACCAACCTCTTTTTCACTGTAAAAGGCCCTCAAGAGTACGCTCTCAGGGAAATATAGAGACCCCCCAGGGATCCAGAGACCTTTCCTGTCCCTTTTTATGACTGAAATGGCTTGAAATCTCACCAAGAGGAGAAACAGTGAAATTTCTACCCAAAGTAGCCTGAACATATACCACCAATCTTTATGAAATTCATTTCATTTTTTATAAACTGACAGTCAATATAACAGCATTTTATTTATTACCCAATGAAATAGGGAGGAAAAAAGTTTTTGGAAAAAGGGTCTGCTTAGGTTTGTGGCAGGGTCTTGAGAATAAAGGTAGAGATATTTGAAGAATAGGAGTAAAACTCTAATCCTAAAAGTGACATATGCCATTAGTATTGGTAGATTTGGATTATTTTCCTGCATATAAAAATGATTTAATTCACAATCTCTTTTTCTAAGAAATTGACACATAACTCTTTTTACTCTTCCAAGGAATTTGTTCAGAAATTGAAAATATCTATAATGGATGAGGATATCTATTATGAATGCCTTTAAACCATCATACCATAGTTATCCAAAGAAGGGATGATAAAATTTATAGATGACAATCTCAATTCTCTCTAAATTATTCATTTTTAAAGTTCAAAATCAAGAATATAAAAAAGGAGAAAATAACTAAAGAAATTAAACAGGATTCCTATCTGACAGTTATTGGAAACCAGTGATTAGAAGCACTTGGTGCAATATGTTCTACAAAGGACTTTTTAAATTTCATTTTTTGGTTGCTTCTAGAGCTCTTTGACCTTTCCTTAGGGGAACACAACTGTCAAACTGGTGTTGAAGTACTTTCCTGACTGGAGGAAGAAGTTTTGAAAAGAGAGTTGAGTTTTTAATCAACTGAATTATATCTTATTTCAAATTTTAGGAAAGAATCTTCTCCTTGTTAATCTACAGTCTGAAATTTTGCTTTTCTGACAATGGGAGATGACCCCAGAAGAAAACACAGTTTGTGAACACAGTTCAATGAATTTCTGTTTTGTTTTGGTTTTTTGTCCTGTTGCATGTGTTAGTTAACATTTCCTACTTGGCATTTGTAAGTCAGGAAGCAAATGGCGCCTCAGAGGATTTAATTGAAAAGTTCAATTTATAGGCTCATAGGGTGAGGGAAACGAGAGATGTGAAAGCCAAGGTATGAACAATAGCTAGAAGCCTATACTGCCCCTAGGCCTGATGCACCCATCAGAGGAAGCTCTTAGAACCTGGAGGCAAGAGTTGCGGAAGTGGGTGCACCTGACAGGAGCTACAATCCTAGTTAGATAAGCTGAGCTTTCCACACTTCCATGTCAGCTGCTTCATGCTTGTTTGGGTTGATTGGAAGCAGTGGTGGGAGATTAGAGGGCAGGAAGAAGAGAAAAGCCACAGTGATTTCCTCTCTGTCCCCTTCACAGCTCCAGTTCTTGTTGGACAGGTCCACCACGGTTCCAGCTACTCCCTGGTAAGCCTGGCCACTGGACTCCAGCCGTAACACTTTTTCCTACTTAGCAGTGGGAATGGGTTCTTTCTGTTGTTGCTCTCTGGATTGGCTCACTGTCCTTCCTTGCTTTTTAGCTCTCCTATCACTTTTGAAACCAATTTGCAACTTTAATTCCCTCCATTTTAAAAAACTAAAAGTGGTGTATACTCCCTGTTTGGTCCTGATAGATATTTTATATTTTTAATTGCTGCTTTGAGTGGCATCTTATTTTTCCTTATATTTCTATAATCAGTATCTTATTATCTATTTGGTCATTGTTGATGTAGAGGAAGACTTTATATATGCCAACCTGGCTCTATTCTGTTATTTTAATGTTTATCGATTCTTTTGTGTTTTCAATGGAGATAATCATATCTGGAAAGAAATGCTTATACCTCTTATTTCTTTTCCCTAGCATATAACCCTGGACAAGACTTGAAGTGTTATGTTTGGTAGTGGTGATAATAGCATTCTTTTTTTGATTATAATTTTAATTGGAATATGTCTATGGTTTTCGATTTTGGCATAATGTTTGTACAGTTCTTTTAGATTTATAGCTGTTTACAAATTTAGGAAATTTTTATTTCTAGTTTTCAGAGTGTTTTAATAAAAAATTGGTGAACTTTTACCATTATTTTTTCAGCACGTATTCAAATAATCATACACTTTTCCTTCTTTAATTCCTTAATATGATGTATCGTGTGGATAGATATCCTGATATTTCTTGAATTACTGGGATTAATCTTGCGCATACTTTATTTTTTTAAAACATTGTTGATTATATTAGCTAGAAGATTCTGTTCTATCATCTGTCTATCATCTCTTTAATTAACTTTGGATCTAAGTTCATAAATGAAAGCGATATTTGATTATCTTTTGTCAGCATTCTGTCTTATTAAGGTTTTCAAAATTCTAGCTTTCGATTTTATTAATCTTCTCTCTTGTTTCCATGTGTTTTATTTCTTTAATTATTTTGTTTATCTTTGTTATTACCTTCTTTTTTTTTTTTGTCTCTTTGGATTTGTTCTATTGTTCTTTTCCCATCTTCCTTCATTGCTCATTTTTTCCAGTATATTTTGCTTTCTGTTGTATGCATTTAAAACTATAAATTTCCTGCTGAATATCACTTCAGCTATGGCCTAAAATTTTTTATAAAATGTTTTCATAGTTTTTCTTCTTTTAGTGTTTTTAGATTTCCCTTATTTTTTTTTCTCCTTTGGTAGAGGGGGTTACCTATTTATAAGTTCTTTAGTTTCGTATACAAGTTATTTAGTTTACATATACAGCTTTTAAACTTATTATTATTGATTTCCCATTTTTTCCTAATAGATGATATAATAGGTATGATACAAATTTTTAAAAAATTTATTGAGATTCTCATTGTGGAACTTTATGCAACCTATTTTCTTTATTCCAAGAAAATATGTGTTCTCCTGTGGTTGGGTGTCAACTTCCATATAGATCCATATGTTCAGTTTTGATATTTTAACTTTTTTCTATTTTTGTTATGCAGTTTAACTTATTTGATTCTGAGAGGGATATGTTGAAAACTTCAATTCCAGTTGATGTATCTGTTTTTCACTTTATTTCTCTCAGTTGTTGCTCTACATTTTTTGAGTCTATATTCTTAGGTTCCTGTGTTCATGAGCTTACATCTTTTGATATGCTTTTCCTTTTCCCAGCATATATTGTTGCTTTTTATCTTTTATGTCCTGATTTTTATTTTGTCTGGTAGTAGCATAGCTACTCAGGCCTACATTTAGTTTGCTTTATGGTTTATTCATCTTGATGTCATAAAGGTACTCTACTATATTGACTCTAATGGTTTTGAAATTTTGCCTTTTACATATAAATCATTAATCCATCTGGAATTGATTTTTATGTTTGGTGTGAGATAGGGATCAAATTTTACTTTTTCCTCCACAGAGTCCATCTCTATATATTTTTTTTCCCTACTGAGCTGAAATGTCAACTATTATGTAACAAGCTTCCATATACATGTTATATAGGTTCTCGTCTTCCTACTCAGGTCTATTTGCCTATCTTTGCACCAAATATCTTGGTCTTACTTACAAGTTCTATACCAAGTTTTAGTATCATAAGAGCAAGTTCCCCTAAACTTTTTTCTTTTTTTTTCTCCCAAGTGTTCTTTGTGAGTATCTTGGTTTATTGCTGTGCTGTGTAAGTTTTCAAAAAAGCTTGTTGAACAATAAAAAATCTTATTGTCCCATTTTGGAATGTCTTGAATTGATATCCTGACAATATTGCATTTCATATTCATGAACATGGCTCTACTCCCTATTTGTTGTGGTACTCTTTAATGTTATTCATTAAGTTTTTATAATTCTTAACATAAAGGAGAATCACTTACAGCACTAAGTTGGAATCACTTCCTGCCATCATTGCCTGGTTCTCTGTAGGGCTAAAGTGAGAGACACATGATAAAAGTCAGTCCCTTGTATAATAGTGTGTCTAGTCTGCTTCAAGCTGCCATGACAGAATAATATAAGCTGGGTGCCTTAAACAAAAAAAAAAGTTTATTTTCTTACAGTTCTGGAGGCTACAAGTTCAAGTTCTACAAGTTCTGCAAGTTCTGGGTTCTGGAAACCCAGAAATGCAGAATCATGCAGGAGAAAGCTGCTCATTTTCCTTATTGCCCCACATCCAGTTGGGGAAAATAGAAAAGGGATGAAATATTTACTCCATTCTTTTAAGCAGGAAGGGATGCTCTATCTCATGGGGCAAAACATCAGTTGGTCGTACTCTGGTTTTTCTCCATCTGGTTTCATCAGCCTGATAGAAACTCCTTCTTGATGCTGACCTTAAATCATTTGTGTTGATTTTTAGCGTCGTTGTGAGCTTTTCTAACTTCAAAGATATTTTAGTTGGAAGGCAAAGAGGCTAGCTCAACACCCTTTAAATGGGAACGCCCAACTTTACCAGTTTTCACATTAAACAAATTTATGTTTTTTGGCCACCAAAAAAAAAAAAAAAGATAAAACACAGCACCCAGAATACTGGGTGTTGCAATTGGAATTTTTCTGTGTTTAAATAAGATCCATATTTTCAATCATGGCTATTTTTCCTTTTTTTTTTTTTTTTTTTTTGGTGGGCATAACATCAATGTATGAAAATCCTAAAGGCCAAATAAATGAAGAGAAGCCTGCTAGAATCACATGTGAAATGGGTTTGGATGTTTTTCAAGACTTTATTATTTTTCTCATATTTATTTCAAGAGTATAAGAGTTCAGTTAAATGCTTTCCTGAGGGTGAACTCTTCTGTTGCTTTGATTGATAGCAATTCTTTTTCAATTACATATGGCATTATATGATGGTAATCTAATGCCAAATTAATACTTCCATAGTTTTCCAGTGTTAATGATGAACAAATCATACAAATGTGTTCTTTTATATTTTGAAGACTGAGATGAACTTCTAAACTAAAAAAATTATCCTTTTAGCAAAGTTTAGAAACTCTTGCAGGCAGGCCTAGACTTATTATAACCATGTATAATGTAGTGTTTTAAGAACACAGACTTAGGAATGAGGTACTTCTGAGTGAATAATTAAAGCTTTCTGAATCTTAGCTTTCTAATACATAAAATATAAATTACAATAATATCTACCTCATTGTGTTTGTGACATTTGTAAGACTTATTTAGTATAGTACTTGCCACAAATGAACATTCCTTAGAAGTTGGCTATTGTTAAGTATTACTGTTCTCATGAATTATACCAAAGACCAAAGGAAGTTCTTCAGTCATAAGTCTTCTAAACAGTATTTTCCAAGCCAAATGATACTACACACTAATTAACTGTCTACATACTGAATCCCATAAGTGAGAAAAAAGCTAAACTTACCTAGTTTTGCTGAGATGTGTCTTGACAGACACTTAGAAAATTCATAGAATATGCCTGTTCCTTGAAATCTTAGAGGATAGTGGTCAAATCACATTGTATGGTGTTATTTTTCCTGCATTAAGAATGGAAGTACAAGAAGATTTTAGAAACATGGCAGTAATAGCTTTTAGTATTTTCTATCCCAAACCAGTCAGGAAAACACAATATAAGCCTTTGTTAAAAAGAAGTCAGAATTTTGTCCTTTGAGGAATTTCAAACATCTAGTCTCCATCTCAAACATCTAGTTTGTATCTCAAATGACAAAAATGAAGAATTATTCTGATAAAGATATCTGCTCTGTATGTGCCAATCCATTGTTCAAAGAGCAACCTTCTGATATATGATTTGTTTTTCTTCCAAATGCGTGTCCTTACCAGAGAAACAGTGGCCAATGCCCCAGGTTAGATCCACGTATGTGGGTGTCTTGTGCTGTGTGAGAACAAAGACCACTGGTGGCCATGTCTCCTCTCTTCTGCTCTCAGCAACTAAAACATTTTGCTCCAAGCATGTATACCACAAATGTATGTAACTGCACCTGGTCATTTTCATTGGAATTTGGCTTAATAATCTTCAGTGACCATTTGATTATTCCCCATAGGGATATTGCTTCTACTTGAGTGGTTTATTAAGTTATTCCTACCAATCACAAACACTGCTGTTCTGGTTAACCAGTACTATATAACAAATGACCTCAAAACTTAGTGGCTTAAAACAACAACTTTATTTTTACATGATTTTTGCAGGTCAGGAATTTAGGGAGGATTTGGTAGGGTGATTCTTGAGTAGAGTCACTTGGTGGTATCTGCCTAGTAGCTAGTCTGGTCTAAAGGGTCCAAAACAGGTTTCCTGCCTTGAAAGAATGTCTGTATAACCCCTCCATGTGGTTTCTAAGCAGAGTAGATGGACTTTTTACATAGCTGATGGCTTCCCCAGAACAAATGTTTCAAGAGAAGAAGATGGTAAGTAGATGTCTTCTTCTGACCTGGCCCCTGAAGTCATTCAGGGTCAATTCCACCTCATTCCATTGGTAAGAAGAAAGTCACAGGCCCAGCCCAGATACAAGGAGAGAGTAGATGATTACACAAGACTATGAATCCTGGGGACATGGTTCACTGGGTGGCTATCTTTTGAGAGTAGTCTCTCCGAGAGGAGTCTAGATAAAAACAGTTCTTTCAGTTGCGATATAATTATAGTAATGCTTTTGTAGCCTTTATAAATTTGCACCTAGAAACCATCTGGTTGGCCTACCCCTTCATCAGGTTCTGTTGATGCCAATAACCTGTATTGTTCTGCAGCATATGTCTACAGTCTTCTTTGTGGGAATTTAGTTGATACGAGTTCAAGAGCCAGATTACCATGTGTGAACTGATCAAAAGAATCTAAATTTACAACACTGAAGCTCAGATCATCAGTTGTACCCTGACTCCCATGAAAATCTAGCTGGAATACACAGCTAGCTCTAGTTCACTACCTTATAGCTTAGTTTGCCACCATACTTAATATATAACATCCCACCAGTTTTATACATCCTTATAATTCAGATCTTAAATCATTGTTGTGCAGAGTCTGCTGATTCTACTGTCAGATGCGTTTATTATTGAATTAACCTTCTTCCTGTTCTCCTGCTCAGGCCTTCCTCCCTGCAGTCTAATCTACTGTAAATCTAGTGATCCTCTAAAAATCCAAAGAAGATCATGATACTTCTCTGCTTGGATCCCTTGAATGGCTGCTATTCTTACTTTAGTAAAATCCAAAGTTGTTACAGTTGACTTATGAGGTCCTATGTGATCTACACCCCTCTCTTTCTCTCTGTTCTTTTTTTTTTTTTTTTTTATAGATTTTATTTATTTGACAGAGAGAGAGAGAGAGTACAAGCCGGGGAAGCATCAGGCAAAGGGAGAGGGAGAAGCAGGCTCCCACTGAGCAGGGAGCCTGATGTGGGGCTCCATCCCAGGACCCTGGGATCATGACCTGAGCCGAAGGCAGATGGCAGACACTTACCTGACTGAGCCACCCAGGCATCCCTCTTTCTCTCTGTTCTTATACATTTATTAATTAATTCATTCATTCTGCAGATATTTAGTACCTGCTATGTGCTAGACACTGTCTCATATGCAGAGGATCCAACAGTGAACAAAGCAGAGAAAAATACCTGTCTTTATGGAGTATCCTCCCCCCCCGCCTTTCTCTATTCACATTGGCCACCTAGCTGTTCTGGAACATTCCTAGCACAGTCCCGTCTCTGGGCCTTTGTGTTTGCTGTTCTCTGTTTGAGAATGCTCTTCTCCCAGATATCCATATGGCTTGCTTTCCCATTCATTTAGTTCTTTATGTTCAAATATCACCTCCACAGTCTATTTCTTCACCACCCAATAGAAAGTAGTAGTTATTGCCAAATCATAGTCCCTTCTCCCTGTTATCTTATTATCACCATATGGCAAACTAAATATTTAATTGCTTGCTTGTTTATTATATGGCTTTTTCCACTAGATTGGAAGGTCTGTGAGGGAAGGCTTATCTGGGTTATTTAGCCTTACAGCTTGTCTGAATCACAGTAGGCTTTCAAAAAGTGCTTGTTGAATGAATTTTTGGATTCAGTCATATGAATTCTGTTAACAAAAAACCCCCACAAATAGTTCCTCAATAATTATAAGCCTCCTTCTTGTCTGTATTTGTTATTTATCTAGACCATTTAACTGCAGTTAGATTGCATTTGGTGGTGTGAGCCCCTTCCCTCAAAATGAAATATATTATAACCTATATTTACCTACAGTGGCATAAAGAGAGAGGCAGCAGAAGCCCTACACTGTAGTTTAACAGAACAAGTAAAAGCCCTATTTGTATTTCATTAAGAGAAAATATATGGGAGAAGTATCTTGAATCATCATCTTTAGATTATCCATATTTTCATATTCCTGCATTATCCTCATTCGTAATTTACACTGTTAGGCAATGAAGCAGAAAATGTTGGTTTGCTTTAATTAAAAAACTACTCAAATTAAACCAACACCATTTAAAGTCATATTACATAAATGGACCATCATGCATCATGCAGTAACTACAACTACACAAATGAAATGGAGAACTGGACAGAATTCTTTCTAATTTTGTCGCTGATGAGTCTCAAACTGATTAACTTAGATACAAAACACCACTTATTTGTAATGCAGAGAATTTGGATAATGCCTTGATATTCCATGCTGCTTATGTAAACAGATCAGTTTCAATCTTTTCTACTGTCAGCTTTCAAGTTACATAGGATTTTGAGCTATTTAAGCAATATTAACTCAAAAAGGAAAGAAAAGTAATAATCAATGCTGAGTTCTTCCAGTAGGTCTGAAGCAATATAAACTAAATTATAATCATTACTCATGAAGGAAATATTGATACCATTGGTAATTTCATATAGGGTTCAGCAAATCAAGTCTGCAGGACAAATCTTGGCTCCCACTTATTTTTGTTCAGCCTGAGAGCTAAGAATGGATTTTACATTTTTAAATGGCTGAAAAATCAAACAGAATATTTCATGATATGTGAAAGTTAGAAGAAATTTAAATTTCAGTATCCGTAAACAAAGTTTCACTGGAACACAGCCATGACTGTTTGTTTACATATTGTGTAGGCCTGCTTTCTTGCTGGAGTTGAATAGTTTCAAGAGAAATCATTTGGCCCCCAAAGTCTAAAATATCAACTATCTGGACCTTTTCAGAAAAAGATTGCTGACTTTGCTTTGGTACACTGATTTCTCCAAATTTTTTCAGTAGATCATGCATCAGAATTAAGTGTAGAAAAAAAAATAAGTGTAGATTCTCCATCTCTCCTTTAGACATACTTGTCCCCTGGCTCCAGAGCAATTTCAAAGCTCTAGCCTCTGGGCCTGTAAGACTCTTTTGGGGAGGAAATAGCATCAGAAGGTCTTGGGGCTCACACACTACACATAGACTGCTACATATTTTCCTTGCAGTAAATCAACTGTGGTATTTCCTTGTTCATCATTCCTCACTAATTCTGTGTATTATTGTAAATAACCTCTTCAGAAGGCAGACTCTTTGGTTCATAATGATAGCACATATTTTTCTCAGGGTTTATTTTGTTTACATCCTTAGAGTATCTTTAGTTACATACTTATGTTAATATGGTAATTTAAATAGGGTAATATAAAAAGACAAACCCCATAAAGTGATATTACAGATTGAACTACTTGCCATGTGGGACAGATTAAGTACTGATATTCATAAGCAAAACTATCACTATATATATAGTTTCACATTAATTTAGATTTGAAGAGAAGTTGGTGCTCAATCATGAATTATGCCTGGAGAAAAAGGAATTGGGCTCATTTATTGAATAAAACATGGGAAGCTGTATTCAGTGCATTACACAGAAGCAAAAATAATTAACCCGTATGTGCTGCATCTATCAGTCCATATAGAGTCTAGGTAAGAATTTGGGACCTGAATTCTTTAAAAAAGAGATGTTCCTGGCTGAGTAGACATCATGAGCAAAGCTCACCCTCCCAAGTTGAAAAAATTTATGGGCAAGAAATTATCATTGAAATTAAATGGTGGCAGACATGTCCAGGGAATATTGCAGGGGTTCGATCTGTTTATGAATCTTGTGATAGATGAATGTGTGGAGATGGCAACTGGTGGACCACAGAACAATATTGGAATGGTGGTAATACGAGGAAATAGTATCATCATATTAGAAGCCTTGGAACATGTATAAACAATGGGTGTGTTCATCAAAAGAAATCAACTGCTTCCACATGTCCCCTCTCCATAGCACCTGTTTTTTTTTTTTTTTTTTAAAGATTTTATTTATTTATTTGAGAGAGAGAGACTGAGAGAGAGAGCACATGAGAGGGGAGAGGGTCAGGGGGAGAAGCAGACTCCCCGCCGAGCAGGGAGCCCAATGCGGGACTCGATCCCGGGACTCCAGGATCATGACCTGAGCCGAAGGCAGTCGCTTAACCAACTGAGCCACCCAGGCGCCCCTCCATAGCACCTGTTTTACTACAATATAAAAATCAGGTCATGTGCACTTTCATATTGAACTTTTTTGTTAAATAAACTTTTGTAATCATAAAAAAAAGATGTTCTTGGATTCCTAGAAAACTACATCAAGCAATCTTTAGATCTCTCTTTTTGGCCATATTTGATAATGTTGTGACTTATTTATCCTATGAAAATATTTGTAATTTATAATATCATTGTTATTTTCTTCAGGGGTTAACTATCAAAAGGCTTACTTTTGAATGCTTTATTAGTGTGGGTCATATAGGCAATAAATAAATGTTAAATAACTTGTGATTTGTATGATTTTTTTTTAACAAAGGAGAAAGCGAATACTAACTTTGTTCTTGCTAGATCTTGTTCTGAAATGGAGCTAGACTACGAACACTTCTTTCAGTTCTGTAGACAGAGAGGCAGAGAGCAGAGGGAGAGCAAGAGACACAGAAAGACACACTGAGACAGAGTGAGACAGAGACAGGGTGAGACAGAGTGAGACAGAGACAGGGTGAGACAGGGTGAGACACAGACAGAGTGAGACAGAGACAGAGAGAGACAGAGACAGAGAGAGACAGAGCTAGAGAGAGACAGAGCTAGAGAGAGACAGAGCTAGAGAGAGACAGAGATAGAGAGAGACAGGGAGAGACAGAGAGAGTCAGAGTCAGAGAGTCAGAGTCAGAGAGTCAGAGTCAGAGAGTCAGAGAGTCAGAGAGACAGAGACAGACAGAGAGAGACAGGGAGAGATAGAGAGATAGAGACAGAGAGAGAGAGAGATAGAGACAGAGAGAGACAGAGTCAGAGAGACAGAGAGAGAGACAGAGACAGACAGAGACAGAGATAGAGATATAGACAGAGATAGAGATATAGACAGAGATATAGACAGAGATAGAGGGAGACAGAGACAGACAGAGACAGACAGAGACAGACAGAGACAGACAGAGACAGACAGAGACAGAGACAGACAGAGACAGAGACAGACAGAGACAGAGACAGACAGAGACAGAGACAGAGACAGACAGAGACAAAGACAGAGAGACAGAGACAGAGACAGACAGAGACAGAGAGAGACAGACAGAGACAGAGATAGAGACAGAGATATATATATAGAGAGATATATATAGAGAGATATATATAGAGAGATATATATAGAGAGAGATATATAGAGAGAGATATATAGAGAGATGTATAGAGAGAGATGTATAGAGAGAGAGATGTATAGAGAGAGAGATGTATAGAGAGAGAGATATATAGAGAGAGATATATATAGAGAGATATATAGAGAGGGAGATGATAGAGAGATATATATAGAGATAGAGAGATATATATAGAGAGATAGATATATAGAGATAGAGAGATATATAGAAAGATAGAGAGATAGAGAGAGATAGATATATATAGAGAGATAGAGAGATATATAGAGATAGAGAGATAGAGAGATATATAGAGATAGAGAGATAGAGAGATATATAGAGAGATATATAGAGAGATAGAGAGATATAGAGAGATAGAGAGATATAGAGAGATAGAGAGATATATATAGAGAGATAGAGAGATATATAGAGAGAGATAGAGAGATATATAGAGAGAGATAGAGAGATATATAGAGAGAGATAGAGAGATATATAGAGAGAGATAGAGAGATATATATATAGAGAGAGATATATAGAGAGATAGAGAGATATATATAGAGATAGATATATATAGAGAGATAGAGAGATATATATATAGAGATATATATATAGAGAGATATATATAGAGAGAGATATATAGAGAGATATATATATAG